TCCCCAAAACCCCAAAACCCCAAAACCCCAAAACCCCTTTATTTAATTTATATTAATAAAAAATTATAAAATTTACCTTACAAAAATGTATTCTAAAGTAAAGGAAACTGCAAGCTCAACCCTCCAAACTGCTAAAAATCAGTTAGGTACTGTATCAGATGTGATGCAAAGAGGCTCATCTTTTGTTACAGATAAAACTATGTCTATCATAGGTTTATCAAATATTTTTGAACACAGATTCTCATATCCTGAGGAGCAAAAAGAGGCAATCCGTGAGACAATTAAGCCTGGCGATATCATTCTAGCTAAGACACCAACCTTATTTGAAACTCTAAGTATGCAACAGACTACAAGCAAGGACTACAATGATATCTATGTTGTTGTTGGGAGTCATTTGAATTGTCTCCAAATTACTTCCCCTGAAGCCAAACTAACCAAAGTTTGGAATCTGATATATCCAATCAAAGAACCAAAGATCATTAGACCTAGAGTTTCTGAAGAAGTGAAGGACAAATTTATTCAAGAATGCTACAAAATTGTTGGAAATCAGTTTGAAGATCCTAGGCTATCAAACAAATTTTTGGAACAACAGAATGAACACCATCCAAAGCCAGAATGCTATCGTTCTCATGCAATCTTTGAGGCCTTTAGTGAAGCCCATCCTGAAATCTATCAACATATGACTTGTGGAGTAGATCTTGATTTATATCAAACTGGAATGCTTAGCATTCAGGATTTCAATTATATGGCAGATATGATCCCTGGTAAATTCGATGTAATATATCCTCTCACTCAATTCAAAGAGAAGCAATTAATTTCAACAGATATCACACCTGAAATTAAACAATCTGAATCTTTCATGCAAAGATATGGAATAAATAAAATAGTTGATTTCATTACTTCCATCACTAACAATGGAATAATCAATGAGATTATATTGACTTCGATTCCATCACTGGTTAAACCAGCTATCAATTCAATCTCAAATCAAGCTCAGAATGTTAAAAAGATTCATACAGGTATTTTACAAGCTGTTTATTTCAAGAATATTTTACTGTAGTAAACTACTAGTTTTGACTAGATTTCCCCCAAATTGTGTTCTTAGGCTCTGTTTGAGAGGATATGCGTTCTTATAATGAATCATAAATATTTGACCATTATAATTGGAAATTTCTAGAATCAAATCCCTTCATCCACAAAACTTAACCTAAATCTGAATCTACTACTTATACCAAGTTCAGATTTGACTGGATTCGGGTTCAATTCCACAAGCTAAGAGACTAATATCTAGAAATTTCCAATCACAAGGATCAAAATCTAATGCTTCATCATAATAAACCCTATACTCTCAAACAAATCCTAACAACACAAATCCTCAAAACTACAAATCTCCTCAAAATCACCCCAAATCCCTCTAACCTCCATAAACTACAAAAGTAAATTTCCTCCTCTCATCCACCCTCACTCTTCTCTAGCTTAGTCCGGATGCTGATCAACTACCAAAGAGGGACTAAATCTTCTAGACAACTGAAAGGTATTTTCAGAATATTGGTCGCGTTCTTGCCACTAGGAGCAGGATTTCAAGGGGTTGTGCTGAGACAGGTTTTGGTGAGATTGGCTGGTAGTGATTCTATGCTTACTTCGGTGAAAAGAATTCCGGAATATGCCTCTTCTTTGACAGGTATAGTCACAAAGGGGGCTTATAGCTCTTTAAAATCTTTGAGAGCTAAAATATAATGATTAATTTGGATTTCAACAGAATCCTCTAAAATTGGGGTTTTGGGGTTTTGGGGTTTTGGGGG